AACAACAGCACTGTAAAAAGTCAAGAAAAGGTTTTCATTCTATGATGGTTATCAAGGGTTGGTGGGGGGAGGAGGAATAATTCACTTGGTAGATTGTAGACACATGCTTACCTGGGGAGTCAGTTAAACATCAAAGGAAGGATAGAAAGAAAGGAAATATCTGTTTTTCATGTACTTGAAGGGAAACAATGTATATTTATTTCCTCATTAGGGTAAACAATTGGGAACTTTCCCACTAATGAAAGAAAGGAGAGAGAGAGAGGGGAATAAAAGACTTGGGAATGGATCCTGATGATGGTTATGCACTATGGGGAGTGTGCTTGGTGTGGCTGGATTGCACATATAAAAATGGTTGAGAAAAAGCAGATCAAAGTGGTGGGGCTCGTGTCGGGGCAGCGGAGACAGTGAAGGCTTTCAAGGAGGGCTCTTCCTGATCCGGGTTGGTTATCGCCGGCATCAATGCCTCGCCTGCTGTCTTCTCCCCGTCCCCTTCCTTCCCGGAGCGCCGCTGCCCGCCCGTCGGTCCATTATGGAGAAGACGGAGTTGATCCAGAAGGCGAAGCTAGCCCAACAGGCCGAGCGCTATGACAACATGGCCACCTGTATGAAAGCCGTGACGGAGCAGGGAGCCGAGCTTTCCAACGAGGAGCGCAACCTGCTCTCGGTGGCCTACAAGAGCGTGGTCAGGCCCCGCAGGTCGGCCTGGAGGGTCATCTCCAGCATGGAACAGAAACCCTACATTTCCGACAAGAAGTTGCAGCTGATTAAGGACTATCAGGAGAAAGTGGAGTCTGAACTGAGATCCATGTGCACCACGGTCCTGGAATTGTTGGATAAGTATTTAATAGCCAATGCAACTAATTCAGAGAGTAAGGTCTTCTATCTGAAAATTAAAGGAGATTATTTCTGGTACCTTGCTGAAGTAGCAAGTGGTGATGATAGAAAACAAATGATAGATAATTCTCAAGGAGCTTATCAAGAGTCATTTGATATAAGCAAGAAGGAGATGCAACCTACACATCCAATTCGCCTGGGGCTGGCTCTTAACTTT